GTGTAAAGTAGAATAACAAAATTTAAATGTACAGTGAATCTTGGGGCATATTCTTTACCTGACGCAAATATTTACATCGTCCAACACAAGTTAAACGAATTATCCCTAGTAGTTTCAGGCTAGCCTTAATGAGTTTCGGGGTAAACTGTCTGGGCCTAAAAAGTTCTGGTTTAAACAAGTTATCAATAAAGAGCTGTAACACTTTTTTTTTTCGAGCTAAACGGGCCGAACATGGACAACAACCGTTTAACATCTCTATAATTGGGTACCTAATTAGGAGCAATAAAATAAAAAAAAAGCTCGAATATTCTAACTAACGAGAGGATCCTAGTACAGATTAAACAAAAGATTTAGATTCCATTTCACGGTTTCTACAATCAACTAGTACAGAGCCCGTGCGATGCACGAGGTGTACAATTTTAAGGCCATATATCCAGCCTTATAATTATATAAATGAATAAAAAAAATATACGGGATATATATAGTACGTGACCTGTGCGAGACACGGGATATATTCATTTGAGGAGTATTATAATTTAATATGCAATATTCAATAAAAATTTCACAATACCCAGGAAATTTGTACAATAAAATAGTATTGAAAAAAGAAACAATCATATATTATTAAAGATCTCAATGTACACAACATTATGAGTTTGATTATTGGGTAACTCCTCATTCTCACAAACTAATATTTTCAACCCTCTTCTATTAGTCACACGTGAAAAAACAACATATAATTGACCATGACTAAAGACGTGCTTCTTTAGAAAAAGACAAACGTGGGATAAAGACTGTCCCTGACTCTTGTTTATGGTCATGACATACGAAACCATAAGTGGGAACTACCGCCGCTGAAACTTAAATGGAACCCTAAGATCAAAAGGAGTAAAATTCATTATAGGAATCAACACTGTGTCGCCAACATGATCACCAGTCAATATCTTGCATTCAAGACAAAAAAACAATAGGCTTGGATCATCCATATTTCACATCTTTTAATAAGTGGCGTTTATTTAAGCCAAAAAATTAACATGTTAATTAATATATAATTCCGCTAACACGTCATACTAATATTTATTTGATTTTAGAATACATATTTATTCATTGATATAAGAAAAAATAAAAATTTTATTAGTTATTGTTCACCATATAATACTCATTAATTATTTTATTATAATGTATAGTCATATTATGTAATTATTATTATTTATAAAAGTTATAGAAGTAGTCATCTTTATGTAATGAAATTCAAAATAAAATTTTGAGTATAAATGTTTACAAAATACACACACATGTTTTTTAGAATTCAATTTTTTCATAATAATTCTTTTTTTCATCCTAATGCTTTATAGTTTATTTAACATACTATGCAATAGAAAAATATTTTACAATAAGTTCATTTTTGAAACATAACAAAAAAAAGTGATAAAAACACTATCATAGTTGGCAATAATATACAAATAAACAACATGTCAAAATTTTAAAGAATAACTAATGTAATTTTATTATCTAATCATCAATATATCATTTAATGATGTGATCATTATCCTTAAAAATAATATTAGTGTTATATAATTAAATAAAGGTTAAAAAATATTACTCGACAAATATTAATTATAATGGATATCAGTAAAATCATCGCATAAATTATTTAAGAAAAAAATCTTTAAGATCATATTTGGATAGTGAATGTAAATAGGCAAGCATTTAATGCATATAGTAAAATATTTCTAAATAAAATATGCATTAAATGTGTGTTGACTTTCTTGCTACTGTTTTTAGTAAATAAGTTGACTTTTAATATATATATATATAGATATAGATAATTGTTTATTTGATTTTTAATTTTAAATAAAATCTTCTTTTTGTCAATATATTATATACCAAATTTAAATAATTCAATTAATAAGGTAATAAGTGCAAATTTTTATTAATATATTATACACCAAATTTAAATAATGCAATTAATAAAGGTAATATCTTAAATAATTTGTTCATTATATCGCCATCGATTTTACCCGTTGTTGGAAAGGAAAAAATTTAGATTAGCTATTCGAAATTGTCTTCTACAAATATTTTTCAAATTAAAATATTGAGATGTTGATTGTGCAATCGAACTTTATTTATATATTGTTCAACTTAATGCGAATCAAACTTTTTTTTTTGATCGGTAATACGAATCAAACTTTATTTATAAAGTAAGTTGGTTTTTTCTTGTTATTTTTATTTACTACTTAAAATAAATTATTAACCTCTGTATATATTAATAGATAATTAGTTATAGATAGATATAAAAAAAATTATTAATGATATATTTGTTTGTCTAGACAAAAGTATATTCTCGTATAAAATAATAAAGAGAATATACATAAAAGATAACTAATGATTATTTTATTGTGACTAATTTATACCAATTACTACATAATTTCTATAAACTTTTTAATTATACTTGCAACATTAAATCATACTCGAGCATATATGATTGGTTATCAATAATTAAGGAACAATTATAAGCATTCGATTATTAGTAATGATTTTTCGTAAAATCATAAATGATTTTTGTATAATTGCAAATGAGTTGGTTAAAATTATATAGTCAAATATAATTTTTTACATATTTAAATTCCATAATGAAATCATATTTTTTGAAGATCTCATCCTCTAAGCAAAAACGATATTATATTATTATTGTCGTGAACCAGTTCTCGGTCTAGCTTTTGTCATGTTCTATCATCTCATAAATATTTATTCCAATATTTGGAATGTTGGAACTGAATAATCTAATTAAAGAATAGATTTTTTATAAATAAGGAATAGATTTTTATACTGAATAATCAGATTTGTTCCCATAATTAATAAAAGTTACCCCAAAACGAATTCAAAAAAATTTTAATTTCAAAATTAATGATCAATGGCGGGATTTTTCAAAAAATTTGAAAAAAATTTCCAAGATTAATAAGTTTTAAAATTTTAGGCGGGATTTCTTCTTCTATTTCAGGTAAATACCAAACATTTTTATATGTATATAGATTTTTTTTATTGTCATCAATATTGCAGAAGAAACTACCATAACTACATCTTAAATCACCAACTAATCACAAACCACTCCATTTATTTATAATAATGAAACAAACTAATAATAACGTAGCAATTATCAAAAAAGTCGTGATTAGTTAAGGAAATCTAAATATTGTTCACTAATTACATGTGATTAGTTAAGTAAATCCAAATATTGTTCTTTACACTAATTATATGCGCATTAATTGACTTTCGTACGTAATAATACATTCATCTATGTAGCATATACACAAATGACTAGGGATAATATTTTCTAACCAAAATCAAAAAATCGAATCGTACAAACTTGAAGAAAAACAAAGTCGAACCGTATCGACTAATTTGTAAAAGTAACCGATAACCGATTATGGAAATTCATTCGGTCTGGTTGCGGCACCGCCACATGAGGATTCTGTTAAAATCGAATTGATCCGATAACAAAAAATATAAAATAATATATAGGGAGGACAATTTGGTCTGGGTTCGCTCTGGCTCGCTCCATTTCAAGCACGGGCAAGGCCGGATCGGCCCAATTTCAGCAACGGGGCAAGTTCAAGTATTAGTCTTGCCCCGCCCCGGCCTGGTTCAACTTGGCCCATGTAGAGGAAATTACCTCAAGTTCACTTATATTTCCATATAGGTTAACTTCAATTTATATTTTATATACACAGTACACTTATTTAAACACTATAATTTTTATTTGTAGTTATACCATTTGTTGACCACTTAAATTGATCAACCGATATTGCTTAACTGATATGGTGTTTAGTCTTTTTATTCGAGGTAATGTGCAAAAAAATGTGGAAATATAGATAGAACACGAGGTCGAATTATGCGATAGTGAGCTCGGTCGCTCGTATTAATTACAGTATTAAATGACAGAATTTATGTTCTTTGCATTGGCAGGATTTTCAAAGGGAAAAAAGTTTTTTAGTCTCTTAATTGACCCTTGTTTTTTTAAAAAAAAAAAAAAAAAAAAAAA